CTAGGAGGCTCAGTTTATATGGAGAGTTTTTATTTTTTACAACAACAAGCTGCAATGAAATAAAAGTAAAAATTAAACAAAAGTAATGAATTTCTACTTCTTGTCTTTTTTTAAATGTAAGAAGTAAAAAGTACGCTGAAAAATAATTACTCAAGTACAGATACCCAAAAAATCTACTTAAGTACAGTAAAGACGTATTTGTACTTAGTTACTTTACAGCTCTGAACCTGCTGTATGATTAAACGTTGCATTCAGCTCCATGCAGTAGTTCCTGTGATATTTTACTAACACAGCTGGTCCAGTTGTGTATAAATGGTGGTGAAAGAGCTCGTTTCTCTGCTCACACTCATRTTTTCCACCTCGGCCTCAGACAGACGTGAAGCCGCCCGCACGCAGGGAAAATTCAGTTTCCTTTAATAAAACTGAAACTGAAGCTCGTCCCACTCAGATCCACAGAGCTGCAGCGGGGGCGGAGCTCGGGCCGGCCCAGGTGTGCAGGAGGCATCCCACACAGGTGGTAGTAGCTGAGAGTCGTAGTTTGACTGTAAGCTGTCCTCTGGAACAAAGGAGCTCTGTTTGGATCCTGTTTAAACTTCAGCTTCTGCTTTKAGCTTCACYTCTAAACGTGTCTTTACTGGAAACCAGGGAGCATTCATGGACCAGAACACCCCCAGGTCTTATTTATACGCTCTGTTAGCAAAATACCACCAGCCACAGGACGGCTTTTAATCACACTTTCAGGAAGCGCTCATCAAAAGGACGTCCAGCACCGATTTACTCAATTAAACCAATTCAAAATGGCCGCTGCAGCTCATCAGCTGAGCAACAATCTAACGACAATCAGAAAAAAATAAACTTTTTCCTCTAATAATCTACGTTTCTGCTTCAGCCAGAGCTGCTGCAGGACTGTAACAGATGAGGTGAAAACTGGAGAAAAACCAGTTTTAAAATCAACCGCAGAGAATCACTCAAATCAAACGGCTTCTTTCCGGTCCTTCGCCACGGCGGCGCTGATGAAAGGCGAGCTGGACGCACAGTGGGTGCTTTGTTTACACCACGCCATATGATGTTACATAACTCAGGCTGTTGCCATGGAAACACTGAGATGTTCCTCCACCCCACCCTTTGGACACACACACACACACACACACACACACAGAGCTGAGGAACCAGGACTTCCTGCCGATGCAGGAACCCTGGCCTTAACGAGGCCAGATCTGTTGCTCCTCAGACAGATTTGGAGTCAGGAGGAGAAACGTCTCGTTAACGAGGAGATGTTTCTCCTCATTAACGAGACGTTTTCACAGATTAAACCTTTAACCACCTTAAAGGCAACAGAAAACAACATTATCCTGTACGGGATCAGGAAACGTGTCGCTATCAGGCTCRGCTACAAACTTCAGCTCATATCTGGCAACAACCAAAACCTGTCGTCTGAAAGAGACGTTTAGTTAAAACATTGTTGGTGTTTGGTGCATGTTTAAAATCCACTTCTGCAAACTTTAGCTTTTTTAGCCATTTTAAACGKTCAGCTGATTGAGGAGACGGTGCAGCCAGCGACTTGGTTTTTATGACTTTTTACATTGTAAAATTAGGTTTTTACAGGTGTTTAACACGTTATTTATCAATAGTTTCTTAAAAATGACATCTATACTTTTTAGCTACCTTTTAGCTAAACTTTTGCTGTTCTTTTAGTTAGCATTTTTGCCTTATTTTAGCTACGCTTTTGCTGTTTTTTAGTTAGCTTTTTTGCCTTATTTTAGCTACCCTTTTGCTGTTTTTTAGTTAGCATTTTTGCCTTATTTTAGCTACACTTTTGCTGTTTTTTTAGTTAGCTTTTTGCCTTATTTTAGCTACCCTTTTGCTGTTTTTTTAGTTAGCATTTTTGCCTTATTTTAGCTACACTTTTGCTGTTTTTTTAGTTAGCTTTTTGCCTTATTTTAGCTACCCTTTTGCTTTTTTTTAGTTAGCATTTTTGCCTTATTTTAGCTACACTTTTGCTACTTTTTTAGTTAGCATGTTTGCCTTATTTTAGCTACCCTTTTGCTGTTCTTTTAGTTAGCATTTTAACTTATCTTAGCTATTCTTTTGCTGTTCTTTCAGTTAGCATTTTGTCTTATTTTTGCTACCCTTTTGCTGTTCTTTTAGTTAGCATGTTTGCCTTATTTTAGCTACCCTTTTGCTGTTCTTTTAGTTAGCATTTTAACTTATCTTAGCTATTCTTTTGCTGTTCTTTCAGTTAGCATTTTGTCTTATTTTTGCTACCCTTTTGCTGTTTTTCAGTTAGCATTTTTGCCTTATTTTAGCTACCTTTTTGCTGTTCTTCTTGTTAGCATTTTCCCCTTTTAGCTACCCTTTTGCTGTGGTTTTAGTTTGCATTTTTGCCTTACTTTAGCTACCCTTTTGCTGTTTTTCAGTTAGCATTTTTGCCTTATTTTAGCTACGTTTTTACTGTTCTTCTTGTTAGCATTTTGCCCCTTTTAGCTACCCTTTTGCTTTTTTTTTTAGTTAGCATTTTTGCCTTACTTTAGCTACCCTTTTGCTGTTTTCAGTTAGCATTTTGCCCCTTTTAGCTACCGTTTTGCCTTGTTTAACAACTCTTTTGCTACTTTCAGCCTGAAAAACAAACGTGATGGCCCAGTTGTTTTTCTTTGGCAGATATCAGCCGAAGTCATGTGGGTAAAGAGTCAGGATCTGGTTTCGTAGAATAAAACACATCTGAAGTCAAWTTTTCAAGAACAAAAATGTTCCTAAACATGTTCCTCCAGGTCCAGGACCAGGTCCAGGACCAGGACCAGGTCCAGAGTTCCTTCGGTCTGGTCCAGGTCCCCCACACAGATGGGGGTTGAGGTCTGGAATCCTGGATCCGGTGGAAGCGGAGCGAGGCCCGATGTCAACTCAGCGTTTCCAGTGACGTAACCTCAGAGGAAAATCCTGCCTGATGGGAGGAGCAGGTTTCACTAACGAGGAAAATRGATTTCCTGACAGAAATTCAGTTTTTTCCAAAGATTCAGGAAAAAAACATGATTAATCAGATTTACTGGAACTCAGAACATGACTCAGCRACTTTTCTTTTCTTGTTTATCTGTACTCAGGGAGTCCTGAGATGTGGGGCACGGTTCATCAGAGTCCACCATGATGACTCACCTGTTGACCTGCAGAGTCCTGGACCCACTGAGCTGAACCTATCTACAGCAGCCGAAGGAACCAACGCCTCCTTCGGCTGTTATTTTAAACTATTATTAAATTTTTAAAGTGTCAGAGGATCTGCTGAGAATCAAAGTTAAATATTTGCCTCCTGTTTGAGCCCAACGCCTGGAAAACATCAGCTGGAGGAAGAAAATGTGAAAACATACTTCAGCTGTTTGTTTTAGATCAGCCGAAGAGCAGAAACAAAAACATCAAAGAGAAGGAAGAGGAGCCTCTTCATCCTTCAGCTGAGTCATGATTTACCCTCTCTGCCCCTCAGGCCACTGAGTCTGTAGAACCCAGAGTTAACTGTCTGAAGAACTCAGTGTTACTGTAGAACCCAGAGTTACTGTAGAACCCAGAGTTACTGTAGAACCCAGAGTTACTGTATGTAGAGCCCAGAGTTACTGTAGAACCCAGAGTTACTGTCTGTAGAACCCAGAGTTACTGTAGAACCCAGAGTTACTGTCTGTAGAACCCAGAGTTACTGTAGAACCCAGAGTTACTGTCTGTAGAACCCAGAGTTACTGTAGAACCCAGAGTTACTGTCTGTAGAACCCAGAGTTACTGTAGAACCCAGAGTTACTGTCTGTAGAACCCAGAGTTACTGTAGAACCCAGAGTTATTGTAGAACCCAGAGTTACTGTCTGAAGAACCCAGAGTTACTGT